AAATTACACAAATCATGACCCAGGCACTTTAAATATCAATTCACTGAAAATAGTAGAGGTTTCACGTTTCTCTAAAAACACTTATTGTTCGGTCTATACGTAGATCCTAAATTAAGATTCAACATGTCCCAAATTGATTTGACTATTGTCTTAAGAACATTTTCCTACCAATATTATATAATTTTACACCAGCTCAGCAAAAAAACTACGCTTTTGGCAAATGGATAGATATTAATTACAAGTTCATCAAGTTTTAAATTTAATTTTTGAAATTTGTCAAGTTTTGATATTTTGTACAGAACCGGCCTACATGCATTAATAACAACTAAAAACTATTAATGATTGCTGTAATTAAACAGGCAATTCCAGCTTTTAGTTTATGCGTGCAGGGGGGAGGGGGTAGTAAGTTATCATATTGCTGATTATGATGAAAAAATAAAAATGGGGACCGTGTACTTCTAAGAGCATAACGTTTGGGTGTTTTTGTTATTTTTAAGGAGTTTTCATGCTCTTGTCTATTGTCAGGCGATAACTTTGCAATTTTCTCCGGCTTCATTGGAATATATTTTGGTTTTTTGCGAAGTAATCTTTGTTCGTAACTTTCTTTTTGTTCATAGGTCATCATTGCCAATCTGCCTCCAATCTGTAGAGACTGCCCAATTGTGAAAAAAATGCGCTTGAGTTATACTCAAGAAACATGACTTCAAAAACGTTTTTGCGAATATAGAATCCTAAGATTAAATCATTGAATCCTGGATTGAATCATTGAACCCTACATTGAATCATTGAGTCCTAAGATTAAATAATTGAATCCTAAGATTGAATCATTGAATCCTAGATTTAATCCTAGATTGAATCATTGAATCTTAAGATTGAATCATTGAATCCTAGATTGAATAATTGAATCCTAAGATTGAATCATTGAATCCTAGATTGAATCATTGAATCCTAAGATTGAATAATTGAATCCTAAGATTGAATCATTGAATCCTAAGATTAAATAATTGAATCATAAGATTGAATCATTGAATGCTAGATCCAATCATTGATTCCTAAGATTGAATCATTGAATCCTAAGATTGAATCCTGAGATTGAATCATTGAATCCTAAGATTGAATCATTGAACCCTAAGATTGAATCATTGAATCCAAAGAATAATCACGAGTTGGTACAAATAGTCGACTATCTTAAAAATAATTTCATTTGGCGTTTTGTTACAGAGCAGCGAACATGTCTCATTCTTGCACAGTTTGTAACAAGTCATTCTCAACTTCAAGTAACCGTACACGTCACGAAAATACAGCTCACGGACCTGGCACTGCATCTCAATCTAGTGCGTGATTATTCTTAGGATTCAATGATTCAATCTTAGGATTCAATGATTCAATCTCAGGATTCAATTATTTAATCTTAGGATTCAATGATTCAATCTCAGGATTCAATCTAGGATTCAATGATTCAATCTTAGGATTCAATGATTCAATCTCAGGATTCAATGATTCAATCTTAGTATTCAATAATTCAATCTCAGGATTCAATCTAAGATTGAATGATTTAATCTTAGGATTCAATGATTCAATCTCAGGATTCAATCTTAGTATTCAATTATTCAATCTAGGATTCAATGATTCAATCTAGGACTCAATGATTCAATGTTATGATTCAATTATTTAATCTTAGAATTCAATGATTCAATCTTAGGACTCAATGATTCAATCTTAGGATTCAATGATTCAATCTAGGATTCAATGATTCAAGTATTTTAGCCACAGCAGATTTATCTTGCTCGGCTTTCTCGCAATTCGTCTTCTGTTCCTTAAGACGTACTGAGAGATTTCGACCAGTTTCGCCAATGTAAACCAGACCACATTCACAAGGAATGCGGTACACACCATGTTTCTGAGATTCATTTACGTTGTCTTTATGTGTGCAAAGAGCTCGAAACAATTTGTTTTCGCTGGAATTATATACCTTTATACCTGCTTCATTCCTCAAAATTCTTTCGATTTTGTGTGAAGCCGGACCAATATATGGTAGACAAACAGACGACTGATATTCAATCTTCTGCTGTATACTTTTTGGTGTTTTTATAGCATTATCTATGAAATGCCGTGGGTAACCATTCATTTTTAGAACATTTCCTAAATGGTCTAATTCATCGTCAATGTTACTTACCTCACAAATTGTTTTCGCTCGGTTGATGAGTGTCTTACACACACAGAGTTTTTAATACTAGGACGATGAAATGAATTATAATGCAGATACTGACCTGTCTGTGTGTGTTGGTTTCCTATAAATCTTTGGTTCAGTTATTGTTGGCGGAGAAATATTTTTATTTGGGTTTGTGACACTTCACTTTGGAAATCACGGAAATATTAAACGTTAGGAACTACTGAGTTTTTTAATTATTGATATATAAATTATATAAATATAAAATATAAACCTCCCGCCTCTTCAACATTTTCAAAGAGATTAGAAGTGGTGAGAATCATTAAGGAATTTATTTTATGCAGCCTTATCAATTGTGAGATCCATATCCGTATTTTTATCCTTTTGCAAGCATTTTTACAACGCCAACGGGGTTGAAAAATCTGATGTCCAGCTTTCTTAAGAGTTAAGGCCGACTTACACTACATAACTTTTGCCTAAAACTGTCGCATGCAACCTGCTTACAACTTGAATTCTGCATGTAGTGTAAATCAAGCACTGGCACAACTCGATCATCAACGAGAACCGGAGAATGTGCGAGTGGTGTGCTTGATTTACACAGTCGAACTCAAGTTGTAAGCAGGTTGTATGCGACAATTTTAGGCCAAAGTTGTGTAGTGTAAATCGGCCTTTGTAACCTTTCTCACACACTACGGCTATTGGCAAATTGTTGAGAAATATATGTATTCAGGGCCGTAGCAACCGGGGGGCTGCAGCCCCCACCCAATAATTTGCTAATAATCGTTCATTTTTCAAAATCATGCAGACCTTTCTCGTATAATCCATGACAAACAGCAAAGAATGAAGATATTGTCCATACTTTCCTGCAACTTATCCAATATATAGTTAATTAAATATGCCTTCGCCCATTTAGTACTACTGAATTGTAAATTTCGACATTATAAAACGCTGTTTTCTGACCATTAGAATTCTGTCAAATCTTCCCCAAAGTCCAGGAAATGGCATTTCAGAGACTCTAAGATTCAGCCCCCCCCCCCAATCGAAAAGAGCTTCCTGCGGCCCTGGTATTATATAAGCGGGATCTCGCGGTAAGCATCCCGTCCCGCCTGGTCGGGATCATTTAAACATTTTCTAATTAGTCCCACCTGAGAAATCACAAGACAAAGAGAAATTCCGCACCGCGCGGAAAATTCCGCCTAGTGGAAAACGGCCTTTAAGTGTATAATCATATGGAGGGCAAAATTACTTGAATATGATTTGACTAATGATGAGGGCATTTTTTCTTAATTCAGTGCAAAATTACTTGCACTTGATTGACTGAGAGACAAGCGCGAGAGGTTTCTTGTTTTAAATGGCAATACGAACAATGACTTCTCACTTTGTCGTTGCGGATAATGATGCCTATTGAAGAATTAAAAACTTCTAGTAAAAAACTCGAACACTAGAAAAAGTACGAATTTAATAGTTGGAGCTATTAAGAAATGGGCAGCATTAATAAAGGAACATCGGGGAAGGCATGGAGACCATAGATAAAAATATTTCCTACGGAAATATGGTTTTTTATTTCAAGCCTGAATTATAGTGATAAGATAAAAGTAGGAAATAGTTAGATTGGATTGTGGCAGATTAAAGTGGGACTTGGCGGAGAAGGAAATTCCGGTGCTTTTACCTACGTAAGAAACATAAAGTCAAGGCCAAATTTTAGCTACTAAAAGCAAAGCAAAGATATTCACTTCTCAATTCAACCTTTCTCGTGATCGAGTGAAGACATACGAATTTTCTTTGACGTTTTGGACTTCTTTCTTTTACCTTTATACAGGTGAGATTTTCAATTATTATTATTCTTATATTATTCTTATATTTTGATACTTTTAATTTGGGTATTATGGAATTGTCACGCCCATGTCGTTTGTCAAACGTCTCCATCGCGATTTGCGCTCTAATTTCGATGTCCGTGCGGCCATTAGATTTGATATAAAAAGGGCTTCCGTCAAATTGCATGGAATTGAGGGACGCACAGTAGACAAGTTGATCGCGTTCGATTTAGATAAAGTTCGTTCATTTCGGCCTGCCATTGTAATTTTGGAAGTTGGTACTAACATGACGACCCGCACAGCCTAAAAATTGCAACTTTTGCGGATTGAATACGCAAAAGTCCGGAAATCAGAGCACATTATCTCATTAAATATAATTCGAAAAACTGTCATCAATCGGTTATTAGTTTCATTACTCACAGTAGGTACTCGGTGTGAAATTCTATTATTAACAAGTTATTAATTAAAAATACCAGGCGCGGATCCAGCCTAAACCCTGACCGTGGCGCACTCCAAAACCGTCAATAATTAGGGGGGTCCGGGGGCATTCCCCCCCGGAAAATTTTTGAAATCTGAACCCCGGAAATGCCATTTCCTGAGTTCTGAGCATCGAATTCTATCATATAATTCGTCATTAATTACGCCATATTTTAGAGAGCAAATAACGAAACGCACTAAATAAGTCAAATATTTAAACAACATACCATGTTCTTCAACGTTACAACATTAGAATGTTACAAAATCACTGTACTTACATAAAACCACAACTCTGTACCGCATGTACTGTTCCTGTGTATTTCAGGTTCTTCGTAGCAAAAAATATCCAATTAGGGCTGTACATCGAACTCAATCATCTTGGCGTTTCAGTTGCAACGCAGGTCTTTTACGGGGTGGGTTTTTTCAGCTGCACATGCATCGATACCAAGTGTCTTATTCTCGATCATTCGCTTAAACTGTGTAGCACGGAAAGTTGCCATTGCGTGAACATTGGATTTTTCACCATGCTGACATGGACAGCAGAAGCACTTGGAGGAAGAGCACTGGTCATCAATAGTTGGAGCTCGCTTGCATTATGCGTGCTTTCACTGCCAAAAAGAACACAAGTGACGCAAAAACCACCGTTTGCCACAGCAGAGTAAGCCAACCTTGGAAATTGTGATAACCATGCCAACCGGAAACGTCTACCAATATTTTCGCGTGGAGGAAAAGAAAAATCAGAACCAGGTTTCCAATGGCAATGATTGCACAGAATTTCGTACTTTTTCGAATCAGGAAGACTGGACACCAGATTTACGTAGTTGTAGATATCATCTGGCCACGAATTGGTGGAAGTTCGTTGTGTTTTGGTGTTAGATTTTTCTGAAGTACAGTAGGACCAGTGTTGGGAGTTACAGATGAAATTCCTTTACTAGTGCTGGGAAATTTGATTTCACTGTCTACAGTTTCTTGTGTGTTGCACGCTCGTTTCACAAGAAGCGCACCGATCTAAGCCAATTTGTTTTCTTTTTGGACCAGTCGTCTGCTTTTTAGTAAATGTAGTCACTTGTGTAGAGGAAGGAGCAGAAATAACTTTAGTAGAAACTTTAGGAGAAACTGTAGGAGGAACTTTAGGATGAACTGGCATCGCAGACTTCAATAAGGTTGGAAGGTGTGCTTTAAAATAATGGTCTCGTGGCTGAAGTGCTTTAACTGGTTTGCACAAGGTAACAAAATGATTTTTGGTAGATAGAATTCTTCGATCAACCAAATAAGACGGTGGCATCGCAGCACAATGAAAGATATGGACATATTCAATTGCACTGCCATCAAGATAATCCCGTAGATATACTGTATTGTACAATTGAATCCAAGGAATCCCAATTTTCTTTCGCTACAGTATCATTGGTGAGTGGGTAGAATGACTGAATGGCACACTGAATTACTGTGGGCAAGGCAAACATGCACACCATGGATGAGAATGTGTAATTTTTTGCAGTTTCCTTTGCTTCTTCTAAAACTGCTGCATTTCATTACAATTCTCGAAAAAAGTAAGAGCTGCATCAGATACACACATGGCAGAGGCATTTTTAAGTGTAGTGAACGCTATTACGTTTTTATGCTGGGACTCAATGAGGGGATGGTTAGTATAGTATTTGGCATTCTCAAACAGTTCAATACTGGTGAGGCATCTCAAGTGAGCAGACAAACTCTCATTCCCGATTAACGCAATAGAACATGCATTAAAGAGACAATGAAGTACTGAAAGAATTTAAGCATTTAAGTATCAATGGTTATTTTATATTATTTTGTAAATATTCTATTGAAACTTTTAACCAGAATGTCAACTTCTTTGCACCACACAGTAATTATGTGATTATACTTTGCAAACTTCGCTCAAATTATCTGGAGAACAAATGTTATACCTTGCCATTTGAGAAATAGCAAGGAACCATTTGTTTTCCCAAATGTTTTCCCTCCTTTTGCTTGTATAATCATGGGTCTCGTTCCACATAACTTTGTGCCAAAAGGATAATTACTAGAATTAGTCAGGGTAACCAATAGAACTAGAGTTGGTTTGAAGGTAAGGACTGGAGATTAAATTTTGGAATCATTAATATGGAAATTGAGCCATACTACAATGTCTTTGTGTAATTTGAGTAACATCATGATGACATCAAATTCACAGCTGGCCTTGACTAACTCATGGGATTTTGTTGCAGTTTTAGATTCGGGATTAGGTTTTAATGTCAGGATTAGGATGACATCATCCACAACAACATCAATATTCATCCACAACAAACACCTGTGAGGTAGTCACCCTCCAGGGGCCAGTTGTTAAAAATATTTGCTGTGTTGGTGTAATGTACTCTGGTGAATAAGATGCTTGTGTGATGTTATTAGAATGTTAGGGTTAGTAATCCAAGTGAGAATATATGTACATTTTAAGACCTAACCAGGAACAACTGCAAAAAAATGCAGCACAAGGTCCTCTGGTAGGAAATGAACCTACGGCCCTGCGATTCCTATCAGAGGACCTTGTGCTGCATTTTTCGCAGTCGTCCCTGGTTAGGTCTTAAAATGTATATATTCTCACTTGGATTACTAACCCTAACATTCTAATATTAATTCCACCAAGTGAAGTGCAAGAATCCAAATTGTGTCATGTTACTCTGAGTGTATATCCACACCGGGCAGGCTTGAAAAATATGCCTGGCCACGGTGGGATTCGAACCTATGACCTTTGGCAAAGGCATTGGGAGAGCATTGGGCTAGTATTCCTTGGCAGATCATTGGGCTAGTATTCCAAAGGTTGTAGGTTCGAATCCCACCGTGGCCAGGCATATTTTTCAAGCCTGCCCGGTGTGGATATACACTCAGAGTAACATCACACAAGCAATTTAGAAATATTTCTTCAGAAATCTTGTCTGGATGAATGAAAGTTTTCTTCAAAGCTTCGAAGTAAACAGGCATGCAGAAACACACAAACAAAAACACTAGGTTAAATTTTAACCAAGGATTAGCCTTAGCTTCGAACAACCGACCCCTGGTCAACCTACAAATATTAAGGCGCTATATTTAAAGCCTGGTGAAACCAAATAGACGACTATATAGACCCAATACAGAAGTAAACATTTTACTTTTACAGTAGACAATCAAATGTTGTAGCCGTAAACTGTAGCAAAATACTGATAACAGTTTTAAACAGAGTTTTTACTAGTATTTCACGACTACATAGCGGATAAATGCAATTTATATTTTATTAACCGCCATGTGTTCGAGATCATATTACTATTTCACTAACAAAAATTTACATACATACAAATTTGCATGCACAAATTATTCCCTGACCCCAGCGTAAATGCAAATTTAATATAAGTCGATTAAAAATTCTTACCTAACAGGAACATTAGGCCCAGATCTTTCAGTTTGGCTCTTGGAGAACTGCAGTTTTGAAAATTCGCACGTTGGCAGCACGATGTCGCCAGTAGATGCAACGGCGCAGCCTTTCTTCAGTGATAAATTCATCATATTGTT